GTTCTGTGTAGAAGTTTTTTAGATTGATATAATTTCATTTATTTATTGTTGCTTTTGTAGCCTGAGGTTTTGGTGTGATATCCCAGAAAGCATTGCCAAAGCCAGTGTCAAGGAGCTTTTCCCTTATGTTTTCTTCTAGGAGATTTATGGCTTCAGGTCTTACATTCAGGTCTTTTATCCATTTTGGATTGATTTTTGTATATGGTGTAACATAAGAGTCTAATTTCACTCTTTTGCATGTGGAAATTCCAGCACCTATTTATTGAAGAGACTACCCTTTCTCACTTTGTCTTTTTGGTGCTCTTGTCAAAAATTCATTGACCATATATGTTTGGATTTATTTCTGGCTCTCTATTCTATTTCACTGTTACGTGTATCTCTCATGCCAATACTATATTTTTTTGATTACTCTTGTTTTGTAATATAAATTTAAATCAGGAAGTATGATGCCTCTAGGATTTTTTTTTTTCTCAGAATTGCTTTGGTTATTTGGGATCTTTTGTGGATCCACAGAAATTGTATGATTGTTTTTTCTATTTCTGTGAAGAATGCTGATGAGATTTTGATAGGGATTGCATTGAATCTACATATTGCTTTAGGTAGTATAGACACTTTAACAACATTAATTCTTCCAATCTATGAGCATGGAATATCTTTTTATTTATTTGTGTCCTCTTCAATGTATTTCATCAATGTTTTGTGGTTTTCAGTGTGCAGGTTATACTGATGCACTTTCATCTTCTTGGTCAAATTTATTCTTAAGTGTTTTATGTTATCATAAATGGGATTGTTTTCTTGATTTCTCAGCTAGGTTGTTATTTGTGAATAAAATGGCCAAGGATTTTTGTATATTAATTTTATATCCTGCAACTTTACTGAATTCATTTACTAGATCTAATAGTTTTTTTTTTGGTGGAGTCTTTGGAGTTTTCTACATATAGGATCATATCATGTGCAAAGAGAGGTCATTTTACTTCTTCCTTTCCAATTTGGATATCTTTAATTTCTTTTTCTTGTCTAATTGCTTTTGATAGTATTTCCAGTACTTATGTTGAATAGAAGTGGGGGGAGTGGGTAATAACTGATTTTTAAATGTACAAACATCTGAAAAGGACACCTCACCAAAGAAGATATACATATGGAAAACAGGCATATGAAAAGAAGCTCAAGGTGATATGAGTTGTCTTCCAAAAGGTAATGAAAAATGCATATTATGAAAAAATTATGGAGTCCAAATTTTTTATACCAAAATAAGCTCATACTAACTTGCTATAACATGCCTGAACAGGATCTAGTTTGAGGCACTAAAAAGATAAGACGTAAGTTTGAAAAGAGCACCTGTCAGAGCAACATAAATTCTACTAAAATTGAAGCAAAAACAAACATCAAATTTAGTGTGAAGCTTGGGTGGAAGAATGGTAAAATCACTGATGCTTTATGAGAAGCTTATGGGGATGATTCCCCAAAAGAAATCAGCAGTTTGCAAACGGATAACTCATTTTAAGAAGGGATGAGATGATGCTGAAGATGAAGCACATAGCAGCAAGCCTTCCATATCATTTTTTGAAAAAAATTTTGAAAAAAATTATGTCCATGCCCTAATTGAAGAAGACGAAGAATTAACAGCACAAACAATAGTCAACACCATAGATATCTAAATTGGCTTAGCTTACACTATTCTGACTGAAAAATTAAAGTTGAGCAAACTTCCCACTCAATGGGTACCAAAACTGTTGTGCCCAGATCAGCTGCAGACAAGAGCTGAGCTTTCAATGGAAATTTTAACAAGTAGGATCAAGATCCTGTAGCAATTTCTTGAAGAATTATAACAGGAGGCAAAACATGGCTTTACCAGTATGATCCTAAAGATAAAAGCACAATCAAAGCAATGGTTACCAAGAAGCATAAGTGGTCCAGTCAAAGCAAAAGTGGACTGGTCAAGAACAAAGGTCATGGCAATAGTTTTTTGGAATGTTTAAGGAATTTTTCTTGTTGGTTTTCTGGAGGGCCAAAGAACAATAACATCTGCTTATTATGAAAGTGTTTTGAGAAAGCCAAAGCTTTAGCAGAAAAACACCTGGGAAAGCTTCACTAGAGAGTCCTTCCCCATCACAATGCTCCTGCTCATTCCCCTCATCAAACAAGGGCAATTTTTTGAGAGCTTTGATGGGAAATCATTAGGCATTCATCCAACTTACAGTCCTGATTTGGCTCCTTCTGACTTCTTTTTGTTTCAAAATCTTAACAAATCTTTAAATTGCACATATTTTTCTTCAGTTCATAATGTAAAAAAGACTGCATTGACCTGATTAAAACCCTCAGTTCCTTAGGGATGAACCAAATGGCTGGTATCATTGCTTACAAAGTATCTTGAACTTGATGGAGCTTATGTTAAGAAGTTTATATTTTTTACTTTTACCTTTTAGTTCAATTTTTCCATGAATTTTTGAAGTCCCCTCATACATCATCAGGGAATTGCAAATTAAAACAACAATAAGATGCCACTATGCACCTGAAAGAATAGCCAAAATCTAGAACACTGACCACACCAAATGCTGTAGAGGATGTGAAGCATAAGGAACTCCCATTCACTGTTAGTGGAAATGCAAAATGATACAGTCACTTTGGAAGACAGTTTGCAATTTCCTACAAACCTAAACATAGAATTGCTATGCTATCTAGCAATTATATTCCTAGGTATTTAACCAAATGAGTGGAAATTCATGATAACACAAAAACCTGCAAATGAATGTTCATAACAGCTTTATTAATATTGGCCAAAACTTGGAAGCAACCAAGATGTCCCTCAATAGGTGCACAGATAAACATTTTATGGCCCATGCATAAAATGAAACATTATTCATCAATAAAAGGAAATGAGGTATAAAGCCATGAAGAGACATGGGAGAAATTTAAATTCATATTGCTAAATGAGAGAAGCCAGTTTGTTAGTTTATTTTATGAATCAGGGTATGGTTTATTTTGGTGAACATTCCATGTGTACTTGAAAAAACTGTGAATTCTATCACTTTTGGTTATAGTGTTCTGTAAGTGTCCATTAGGACAAGTTTATTCTAGTGTTGTTCAGATCTATCCGTATTAACTTTTTAGCTAATTTATTTAGCTAAAATTAATTTTTAGCTAATTTTTTATTAATTATTAAGAGTAAAGCATTGAAATCCCAAATATAATTGTGGATTTGTCAATTTCCCCTTGCAGTTCTGTCAATTTTAACTTCCGGTATTGTTGTCTTTATCAGAGGGCAATTCGCCAAGCAGTGCCCTCTTTCTCTCTGATAATATTCCTTCTTCTGAAGTCCACTTTTGTTTATATTAATATTATCATAATAACGTTTTTTGACTAGCATTTGCACAATATATTATCCCTTTCTTTTTATTTACAGTGAGTTACTGGTAGAAAGCATATATTTGGGTCTCTAGGAAGAATTGAATACTTTAATATCTTGTGACTATATAAGATTTCTATTTTTTCTTGAGTAGGTTTTGATAATTTATATTTTGCTAGGAATTTGTCTATTTCCTCTAAACTTTCAAATCCTATTGGCATAAATTGTTAACACTGTCCCTTAATCTTTTTAATCTTTATGGTGCTTTTCAATATGTTCCCCCTTTTCTTTCATAATATTATTTCTATATACTTTTCTTTTTGTCTTGATGTATCTGCCAAATGTTTGTCTATTTTATTACAAAACTAAAATAATCAAAGCAATCTGATACTGGCATAAAGATAAACATTTAGACCAATAGAATAGAATTAAGACTGCAGAAATAAACTCATACATATATCTTCAATTGAGTTTCTCCAAGGGTGTTAGGACCATATACCATCAGAAAATAATATTTTTCAACAAATCACTTTGGGTCAATTGCACAGACACATGCAAAACAATGAAGCTGAACTCCTAGCACACACCATATTGAAAATTAACTTCAACTGATTACAGACCTGAATACAAGAGCTAAAACTAAAAATTATAGAAGAAAAAATAAGAGTAACTCTTCATGATCTTTAATTTAACAATGAATTCTCAATAATGATACCAAAACACAAGCAATAAAAAATAAAGTAAAAAGACAAAAGACAACCCACAAAATGGTAGAAAATATGTGCAAATTACATATCTAATAAGGATCTGTTATCCAGATTATAACTCTTGCAACCTAACAACAAAAAGACAATAACTCATTTGGAAACTGCCAAAGACTTGAATAGACATTTCTTTAAAGAAGATATACTAATGGCCAAGAAGCACATGAAAAGATGTTCAATATGACTAACCATTTAGGGAAATGCAAAATAAAATCACAATGAGATACCACTTTACACCTACTAGGATGGCTATAATCAAAAAGAAAAACAGAAAATAATAAAGGGTTCTCAGGATGTGGAGAAATTTGTAACTTCATACATTGCTAGTAGGAATATACAATGGCACAGCCACCATGGAGAACAGTTGGGAAGTTCCTCAAAAAGTTGAACAGAATTACAATATGACCCAGCAATTCCATTCCTGGATATATACTAAAGAAAAATAAAAACTTGTGTCCACTAAAACCTTGTACACAAATATTCACAGCAATATTATTCATAATAGCTAAAATAAGTAGAAACAACCAATGGATAAATGGATAAACAAAATATGGTATAAATTAAATATTTTTCTCCATGAAAATGAATGAAGGCTGGGCGTGGTGGCTCACACCTGTAATCCCAGCACTTTGGGAGGCTGAGGACGGATCACCTGAGGTCAGGAGTTTGAGACCAGCCTGGCCAACATGGTGAAACTCTGTCTCTACTAAAAATACAAAAAAATTAGCTGGACATGGTGCCGGGCACCTGTAATCCTGGCTACTTGGGAAGCCAAGGCAGAAGAATCACTTGAACCCAGGAAGCAGAGGTTGCAGTGAGCTGAGACTGCACCACTGCATTCCAGCCTGGGCAACAAGAATGGAACTCCATCTCAAAAAAAAAAAAAAAAAATGAAGTCCTGATACATGCTGTAAGAATTACCCTACAAAACATCCTAAGTGAAAGAAACCCATGATAAAAGGCATCTATTGTATTATTCCATTTACATGAATTATCCAGAACAGGGGAATCCATAGAAACAGAATACAAATCAGTGGTTGACAGGGATAGGGGAAAGTAGGGGTGACTGCTTAATGAATGCAGGATTTATTTTGGGGGCGATAGCAATGTTCTGGAACTAGGTAGTGGTAATGCCTGCACAACATTATGAATTTTCTGTTGGTAGGACAGCCGTAGAGGCCATGGGTCGTGGCAATCTTCTCACATCAGTCAGCCGAGGCATCATCATCCTGTCCTTAATGGCCTTAGCAGGTCCAGGGGCTATGTGGTTTCCAATCCACCTGCAGGTGACAGTGTTGCAGGCATAGGGCCAGGGGCCAAAAATCAAGGACTTGAAGGTTCAAGCAACGTGTACTCGTTGATTCAGGTGGGTAAGTAGAAGTATGCCACCTCAGTGTCAGAGGAGGAGGCCACCTTTGAGCTGCTGCTGCTACTGTACTTGGGCTTCGCCGAGGTGTACCTGCAGAAGCTGCACCCAGACTAGGGGAGCAGGAAGATGCAGTGGTATATCTTGAAATCCAAACCAGGAGAGAAGGATAAAGAGGAGAAATTGAGGTTGACATCCAGTTTATGAGAAACAACATGACTGCCAGCATGTTTTGCCTTTTCATCAAAGACAAGCTTCGGAATCCATTTGGAAAACTTAAAGACAAGATCAAGGGGAATAATACAGAGAGTGCATCAGATGCTGCCTCCACCATTCCTGATCCATGATTGCCCTGCCGACTTCAAAGCTAAAGTGCTGCTTCAACTGGGAGACTTTCAGTCCCGGTGGGACAATGACAACAATGAGAGGGACTCCTCTTCAGCTTCAGATGTCATGTCTCACGAGACAATAGCAGGTACATATCTTAAGCAGCTAAACGAAATCAACATCACCCTTCCCAAAATGGAAGGACTTTCCTTTCTTGGGGGTCTTCGGTCTACGAATGAAGTCCTTTCCCACTCTAATGTCTGTATCAATGGGAACCATGTTTAACTGGAGCAGTCAGAAGCCAAGGGTGAGAACAAGTATAGCAGTCCTTCTTCCTACCTGAAGCCCCAGGGCTTCAGGAAGAAGCGTTTGTTCTTATCTACCAAAAACCTGGCTGCTCAGTCTTGAAAGTAACCTGGGGAAGGAAGTGGGATGTCTCATGACAGGTGGCTCTTTGAGTCTTCCACCAAGAACTCTCTGAAGTCCATGTCTCTACCATCCTACTGACCACTGTTCTGTGGAGACATTAGAGAAAACAGGGCTCCAGCAAACTTGGAAGCTGCAAAAGAAACCAAAGAGAGCAAGAAGCAGAATAACGTCTTCTTTGCTTTCTCGGGTGACGGGGAAGAAGGATATGGCTAAGAACAGTGAAGGTGAAAACCCTCTTACCATCCTGGGGAAGAAGGAAGGCATGCTTACGGAGGTCAAGCCGGGTAGGATGATTCAGGGCCTGTTGAAGACCTTACGAGAAGACTGGAGAAAGATACTGCAGCTATTGTCTCCAGAAGGGGTAACTCTCTGAACCCCTTTGAAGATGCGCAGATCACAGAACCAAAAGCTGACCAAGAATCCAAGTCTGAACAGAATCACCAATTCTGTGATGGCTCCAAAAACCAGAGCAGTCAAACCTTGACTTCATCCTGAAGTCAGTGAACACAATGGCCACCAAGATCGCTATCTCTAGCTTGGGAACTGTCACCATCATCAGGGAGAACTTGATCAACAAGACCATGATGAAGAAAAACAACCCCTTGGATTCTGCTTTTGCGTATGCACAGCTAACCCAGAATGAGATGATCCAGCTGCTCCTCAAACAGAAGAAAACAATAATAAGCAAGAAGGATTTCCAGGATCCTAAGCTGGAAGACTACACTGACAACCTGCCAATCAGTCATGGAAGAAACCCCCACGCTCCACATCCAGGCTCACGTTAGCAAAAAAAGCAGGAAAGATGTAAATCACCAGAATAAAACATGGGCATGTTTCCGTGAGTTTGTTTCCACCTGTTCTTGAGGTTAAGGACTCGCTATGCCTCATAACCAGCTAGCAGGTTCCGAATCATCATCTCCCTCACATGTTATCTGGCAAGAGTCAATTTTACCAATTGAAGCCAGGTTAATAATTACAGTGAATCTTTTACTATGGGTCCCCAAGACTTTATTTTTAAATGCCACTTTGCCTTTAACTAAATTGTAAATATTTTATGGCCACCAGAGACGTGATCATAAGTTCTGATCCTGAGCCAGAGATTCAGATGGCACAGGAGGTATTAATGTGTTTCAACACTGGGGTTTTCTTTCACGTTGAGATTTTTTTTTAATATATATCCTCCAGCTATTAAAGCTTACCTGAGAAAGCTTTAAATAAGAAAAGGACAATAGGCCGGGCGCGGTGGCTCAAGCCTGTAATCCCAGCACTTTGGGAGGCCGAGACAGGTGGATCACGAGGTCAGGAGATCGAGACCATCCTGGCTAACACAGTGAAACCCCCTCTCTACTAAAAAATACAAAAAAAACTAGCCGGGCGAGGTGGTGGGCGCCTGTAGTCCCAGCTACTCAGGAGGCTGAGGCAGGAGAATAGCGTGAACCCAGAAGGCGGAGCTTGCAGTGAGCTGAGATCCGGCCACTGCAGTCCAGCCTGGGCGACAGAGCGAGACTCCGTCTCAAAAAAAAAAAAAAAAAAAAGGACCATGCAATTGCTGCTGTTACATACATGTACTTTCTCATGAGTAGCACAGGTGTGACTTTTGGCTGCAGATGCTAAATTTTTGATACCATGTAAATGTACCCAGCTTCTCAGACTTGGGTCCTGTTTTTAATTTTTTTTTATGGGAGCCAAAATGTTTAGCGAAAGCCTCTGGGTGTGCCTTTCAGATTTTGAACAAGCTGCCTTGTCTAAACATCAACTTCTACTACTCTCTAGCCTTAAAATGTGCTCTATTTAGATCCACAGGGCCCTTCTACTGGAGATATGAAAAATAGAATACAGAAATTAAGAGAATCACTTTTTACTCAATTAGGGGAAGTTGGTCAAAGCCCTCCTCTTGCGACAGCAGGTTTCCTGCTGGCCACCTGTTCAGTGCCTTGATAGGGGATTGGGTGATGAAAGCACTCATGAAAACAGTTCACTCAGGTATGGAATGTCAGAATTCCTTTGGCCATTTTCTCCTGAGTCTTTGCTAGATCCCCTGGTTTCTTTGGCAGCACTTCCTGGACGGAGGACAGGGTCCACGAACTTCTCAAGACATTGAGTCTTGAGACACAAGAAACCACAGACTTCGACCCTGAAGGGCCTATGTCCATATGTCTGTCCTTTGAATACTTCCTGTTCCTGCCTAAAAGGAAAGCCAAATTGTTTCTAGGATACTGGGGAAGTTGTAGTGAGGAGCTTAATGCAGTTAATAGAATCTAAAGCCAGTAGAAAACCAAAATGCCTCAGTCTCAAATATAAAAAATGTTTCTTTTTTATTTTCCATAATGAATAGACTCACAGGCATTTTACCCCCTTGTTATAAAATTGTGAAGAGAAAGAAGATGACACATTTTTGGACTGCTGTATTTTGTGTATTTATTTTTGAGACAGAGTCTTGCTCTCCTCGCCCAGGCTGGAGTGCAGTGGCACGATCACAGCTCACTGTAGCTTTGGCCTGCCGGGCTCAGGCGATCCTCCTACCTCAGCCCTTCAGGTACCTGGAACCACAGGTATATGCCACCATGCCCAGCTTTTTAAATTTATTTTTGTAGAGATGGGGGTCTCCCTATTTTGCTCAGGCTGGTCTTGAACTCCTGGGTTCAAGCAGTCCTCTCACCTCAGCTTCTCAAAATGCTGAGATTATAGGCATGAGCCACCACATGCAGCCAATTGCTATGTTTTTAAAACTAGATTTATAGACATATTTTTAAAAAACTAGGGCACTTTTCCCCTTAACTAAAAAGCACTAGTTCAGTTCTTCAGGTAATTTCATTGGAACTCACCTAAGATTGGAATTGGAATGTTTCCGTGTTGCTCATTTTTTCTACAGGTTATGATAGAATTTCATTAAATCTTGACATCTCTCCCAGGGGAAGAATATCACAGGCCAGTGGTGTGAATGGGTTATGAGATGATAGCATTAACTAAATCAGTAATCTCTTTTACGTATGTTCTTGTTATATTTCGGTTAAGAGGCAAGATGATTGGCAGCAGAATTCTTCAGGATTTTGTTTGCTGTGGTATGGATTATATTGGAGCACCTTAATCTGAAGGATGAAACTGTAACTTATCTAATTAGCTTTTAATTACCTATAGCTATTTTACTTTATTCTCTCATATAGTTTTGGGGACCACTGTAAACTTCTCAGATGACTTGCATTTATTTACACACTTGAAAACTGTATATTCACTTGAACTCTAACAATGTACATGTATATGTATATATTTGCTCTACATTATGTTTTTTACTTTATATAAATGTATTTTTATTGTGATAACCCAAGTGCACCATGGGAGTCATGTGTACTCTTAATGGTTGGAGAGCTGGTATGGAAAACTGGTGTGGAAACCTGCATTCTTCATTAGGGTGGTTGGCTTGGAGATATCTGCTGCTAGAACCTGGGGTGCGTGACTCAGTGTGAGAGGAACATCTGGGTGGAAGAGTGAATTCCTGTGCTCTGAAATGCCACTTGGGAACTCTGGAGAATGAAGAACAATTGACTTCAAGGTGTCTGGCTTCTGCGACTGCTGGAAAAAAATTCAGTTTATAGCATTCCCGCATTTCCCAAAGTAGATAACCTGGAGGTTATTCAATGAATAACTGTCCCTGAGGACTCCATTTTGGGGGAGGGATTATCTAGGAGACGCTTTACCCTGCTCTGAACAATCAGCAGAATTTGGTGAATTGGAGCACAGGAGAATCCTACAAATGGAGTATGTCTCAGGGCATACATCAGCTCTACAAGAGAGCTGGGACTTGCCTCTAGGTTCTGCAGGCACTCACCTGATAGGCCCTGGGGGAGAGGGGGAGGGGTGGTCTGGAGGAGCCGGAACAACTCTTGGCCTGGCCTCTCTGCTTCCAGAAAGAGTATTCAGGACTTGAGGGAAGCATCAGATTAAATACCAGTGAACAGTTCGAGGTCAACTTTCTGAAGTGTCAATCCTTTTCCCAGTTGTTTCATATACTCTTATTCCTTCCTTGCACTTTGGCAGATGTCCTGCCCTCCTCTTTCATTCCAGTGTGTTAACCTCATCAAAGCAGCAAAGTGGAAGAGAAAACAAGTCTGCCCTTTACCATACTGAACAGCTATGGACCCTGAGAGGTGGTACACAGGCCTGTAAGAATGAGATACAAGTGTGTGCTTTCCAGCTTTGCTAACAGTGGGAGTTCAAAGCGGCAGAGAGGGAGGAAAGTCCATGACACTCAGCCACATAGTGTAGGGAGGCAATTTAATATTAAGTGATGCACCATCTGCCCTCCCTAGGTTCCTTCTCCCAATCAACCTTTTTTCTTTTTTCTAGAATGACTAATTATCCCTCAAGAACAATTAATTATCCAATTGCCTTAGGTGGAGAACTTAACTCCTAAAAGCCACACCAACCAACCTCAACTCTGGTTTTTCCATATCTACTGTGTGAGCTACTTAACTGACTCCTCCTCCCTCCAACTGAAGGATCACCCAGTGTTTTTTGGATTATAGAATTATTATTTCCTGCTTTGTTATTCTGGGAATTTTTTATTTCTTTTCTTTGTTTTTATTTGTGTGTGTTTTCTTCATTTTTTCTTTTTGGAGACAGGGTCTGCCTGTCACCCAGGCTGGAGTGCAGTGGTGCAATCATGGCTCAATACAGCCTCAATCTCCCAGGCTCAAACAATCTACCCACCTCAGCCACCCCAATAGCTGGAGCCTTGCTATGTTAGCCAGGCTGGTCTTGAACTCCTGAGCTCAAGCAATCCTTCTGCCTCAGCCTCCCAAAGTGCTGGGATTATGGGTGTGAGTCACCGCACCTGGCCAGGTTTTAAGAAGTAACCTGGGCGCAGTGCAGTGGCTTGCTCCCGTAGACCCAACACTTCGGGAGGCCTAGGTGGGTGGATCTCTTGAGCCCAGGAGTTTGAGACCAGCTTGGGCAACGTGGCAAAACCCCGTCTCTACAAAAAGTAAAAAATTAGCCAGGCAAGGTAGTGCATACCTGTAGTCCCAACTACTCAGGAGGATCACTTGAGCCAAGGAAGTTAAGGTTGCAGTGGGCCATGATCACACCACTGCACTCCACTCCCATCCAGCTTGGGTGACAGAGTGAGAAAAAGGAAAAAAAAAAAAAAAAAGAAAGGAAAAAGGGGAAAGAACCTACAACCTCACAGGTTTTTTTTGGTTGTTGTTGTTGTTTTTGAGACAGAGTCTCACTCTATCGCCCAGAGGAGAGTGCAGTGCTGCGATCTTGGCTCACTGCTACCTCCACCACCCGAGTTCAAGGGATTCTCCTGCCTCAGCCTCCCAAGTAGCTGGGATTACAGGCATGCACCACCACACCTGGCTAGTTGTCGTAATTTTTTGTGAAGATGGGGATTCACCATGTTGACCAGGCCGCCCAGGTTTTGTTTTTAAGAAGTAACCTGAAATTTCCTACAACACTGAATAAGGTGGTACTACTTACCCCCCACCCCCCCACAAAAAACAAACAACAACAACAAAAAACATGAATTTTCTATGGGAATGAATATACCTTAATAAAGAAAATCAAGCAATACAATGGGCTATAATGACAGACTAAGAAAAACACATGATTATTTTAATGGATACAGAAAAAGTATTTAACAAAATTGAATTATCAACTCATGATCTTAAAACAATTCTGAGCAATCTAGTAATCGTAGGAAATTTTCTTAAACTGATAAAGAATATCTACAAAAAACCTATAGCTAACATCATACTTAATGAAATACTGAACGCTTCCCCCCAGCCACACTAACATCAGAGATTTGGCAATGTGTGCTCCAAACATTCCCCTTTAACTTCTTACTGCAAGTCTTAGCCAATGCAGTATTTCAAGAAGACATAAAAGGCAAGCAGATTGGAAAGGAAGAAATTAAACTATCAATATTCACATGTAAATAGTAAACTATACAGACACCACTGTATATAGAAAATGCCAAGAAATATGCATAAAAGTTCCTACAATAAGTGAGTTTAGCAAAGTTGCAGGATACAAGATCAACATACCAAAAGTGACTTTCAGATGCATATACACCTATTTGCTGTTCACATCAGTGTGTTCTCGCTATAAAAGATGAAGCTATTAATATTCCCACTCTGCCCTTCCTACTCACTTCCTCTTCTGTCCCCATACACTGTCGACTACGTTTTTACCTTTATATTATCAAGGTAAAAATTGTTACCTTTACCTTTACACTTACATTGTCCCAATTGTCAACATTTTTAATCACTGTGTTGTCCAGATGCAGTTTATTAAATT